ATCCTCTTTTGTTGCCAGTTCAGAGAGTCCAGGTGGTTGAGTAACAGATTGTTCCATCTCGTTTCCCTTTGGGGTTGCTGCAGGTAATCCAGAAGTCTATTTTTGAGACTTGTTTACATGTCTTCTCATTTCCACGGGGCGGGGGGTGGGGAGGTGCTTCTGGCACATGTGCGGCTCACCTTCTCTGCCCTAGGAGCTTGGAATGGCTCTGGGGGAGCTTCCTTGCAGGTGCTGGGACCAGCTCACCTTCTCTCTGTTTTTAATTTTTAAGTGTCCTTATGAAGATAAATTTTAAAGCATTTTGTTAATTCAATCTATTTCAGTTATTGGTCTGTTATTTATTGATGCTCAGATTGTCTCATTTGTAAGAAATAAGAATCCTCTCAAGTTGAGGAAAGTCTTTGGTCATGGTCCTATAGTATTTAATGATTTCCTTCCTTTATGTTACAATAAGATTTTTCAGGCTAATTGTATATATTTTCTACTGCTGACCTGGAGTCAGTTGGTTCTATAAGGAGTCCTGGTTCCTTTCACCAGGAAATGGAATCAAAATCCATGGTTTGGTTGTTAGAAGTGTTTAGTGCTACTGAATTGATCATTTTTCCCCCAAGGCTTCTCAGCAACCAAAACCAAAAAAAAATATTTTTAAAAGAAAGCACACAGGAATTTGTACTGGTATTTTCAGCTTAAATGTAGAATAGGGTTTTCATTCAACTTCTTTGATTTTATATTTGTACCTCCTTTCTCTTCTTCTAAAATTCTGTTTAATCATAAATATTTATTATCTGTTTCCTCTAATGCACCTGCATAGTAGTTCCAGAATAACAACACCACTATTCTTGCTAATTATAGGATAACCTAGTTTAGGTTTTGTACAATCTTTTTGTCTTTAGAATATACATACTAGGAATGTATTTGAAAATATTAAGTTTTAAAGGCCCTTGGAATACATTTTTTTGTGGTTATGTCACCAGTATTGTTTATATCTAGATGTGCTCCAAGAACCTCATGTGCTCATAGGTGGGGCTTTTGAAAGGTGATGGGATTATGGTTGCAGGAAAGCTGACTTGCTATTAGGAAGTGGTGTCTGGACAGACAAGTTGGCTCTCTGGGGGCATGACCTAAAAAGAAAAAACTCCCTCCCTGATCCTCCTTTCACTCTGCTTTCTTGCTTCAATGAGGTAAGCAGCTTTTCCTCCTCCTGGCCCCTCTGCTATGCTATGCCTTCTTTAGAGCCTGCTGACCATGGACTGAAACCTTAAAAAAGGTAAGCCAAAATAAACCTCTCCTCATTTAAATTGCAAGTTCTGGGTATCACGTCTCAACAATGAGAAAAGTGACTAAGAGTCACCACCCTAATACTCAATTGGATTCATTTGTTTCATTTTTATTTGCTGTTTTACAGATTTATTTTTAAATTTTGTCTCATTTTATACCTATATAAATATATGTATGATTCCAATGTCAAATTAAGACATAATTTAGGTGATTATTTTAGTTTTTGAGTATCCTTCTTATTCAATAATAGGCCTTATATTTCATATATAGGGATATATATGAAATATATAATATATATTTTCAGTTTTTGAGTATCCTTATTCATTATTTGAATTCATATTCTATGTATCAATATCAATATCAATAACAATATAGGTATATTCCCTTTGATCACTTTTCTCATTCTTGCTTTTTTTACTAAACAACATGCCCTGGTGATCACTTCATGAAAATATATAGACATAGTCTTTAAATATTTTATAGTTACATAATACTCTTCATTTATTTATAATAACTGCATAGTTATTATTTAGTCAACCAGCCCTTTGTTGATTGACACAGCTTGTTTCTTGTTTTTTTCTATTACAAATATTACTTTAATAAATTGTGCATAACTTGGGGGTATATTTTTGTCTCTGGGATAGATTTTTGTCTCTGGGATTGATTCCTAGATGTAAGATCACTTGACCAAAAGATCAATGTATATATAATTTTGCTAGATATTATCAAAATCTTGTAATAGTTTGAATTCTCACTAGTAATGTCTAGTTATTTATTTCTCCACAAGTTGACGTATTGACCCAAACCTTTTGAATTTTTGCCAGTGTGATAGCCAAGAAGTTGTGTTTTAGTGTTGCTTTAATTTATATCTTTCTTACTCTAAATAAGACCGGCATCTTTTCACATTTCTAAAGGCTATTTGAATTTCTGTTCCTGTGAGTTGTGAAAATCTCATTTTTTATGTAATTGTCAGTCTTTTTTATATTTAAAAGCCCTTTAAATAACCTGTTATCTCAGTACTCTGGATAGCTGAGGCAGGATTTCCAGTTTCAGACTAGTCTGGGCAATTTAACAACTCAGAGAGACTATCTCAAAATAGAAAGACAAATTTGCAAAGGTCCTGGGTTCAACCCCCAGTACTTTAAAAAAAAATAGGATGTCAATCCTTTATTGTGACAGAAATTGGAAACATTTTTCAGGCTTGACATTTTACTTTATTTGGGGGACATAAAATAATTTAATAATTTTTTCTTCTTTTTTTTTTTTTTTTGGTATCGAGGATCGAACTTGGGTCCTTGCACTTGCGAGGCAGGTGGCAGAACTACTGAGCTAAATCCCCAGCCCCAATTTTTTCTTATGTATTTATCAACTCACATGTATTTTGAAACATAAAAAAATTGTTTTTCACTCCCATCCATGTTTTCATCTAACAGTTGTATAGTTTCACTTTATATTTAGTCTCTAATAGATTTAATTCTGATATATAGTATCATTTTCCACATCATTATCCTGTTATCCTAACACCACTCATGCTAAAGTCTGTTTTATATTTCAGTCAAAAAAGTAAAATCTGAATCTAATCATAAGGAAACATAACAGAAACCAAACATTGAAGGTCATTCTCTAAATTAATGGCCTGTATTTAATTTTTAATGGTCTTATTTTTAAAAGCCACTTTAGATTCACAGCAAAAGTGAGAAGGAACAGAGATTTTTCCATGTATATACCATGCTCTAGTACATACACAACTCCCTCCCAGCATTGGCCCACTAGAGTGATGCACTTTTTACCACTAATAAACTTATATTACTGAATGGTCCTAGATATTCTAACTGCAGCACAAGCTGGAACATGTGCTATTACTAAAACAGAATATTGTGTATACATTCCTGACAAGTCTGCAAATGTATCTTCTGCATTACAAGACCTACATTCACTAGTAATGTGCTGTCAGACTCTGCCTTAAGCTTCAGTGACTTGCTGGTGTCCTGATTCTCTGGAATAACCTGGTGGGGGAAATATCCTTTTTAAACTATGAAACTATGCATAAAAATTCTTTTATGTTGCCTGACCTACTGTTGTTATGAGTTAATGTCTCTTATAGCCTTGCTCTCTTTTTCAGACTACAAAAAAATGATGGTTCTTTGAACAACAGAACCAGATATTCCTGTCTCCTATAATTAGTCAGGAGGAGATTTTCAGTCCCTGGCAGGGTCAATGCCCCTCCTTAGCCTGAAGAAGCTATAAGAAGATGGACATTTAGCCCTTTTGTATCCTTTAAGGATAAAGGATCAAAGTCTCAGGAGGGCATGAGGTAGAATAGAAGAAACAAAGATCTATAGAAAGGAGACAAGGAAATCATAATTTAAAAGTTGTACTTTTAAAAAGACTATATTTCAGAATATAATTTGTATTGCCTAGGTTTGTTTATTTTTTTTTCTTCCAGGCCCATCATACTCCAAATTCCTTGAAGGTAACATAAGTCCATAAATTAGCTCAGTTAATAAATTAAAGGACAGGAACCTGATCTTGAGGTAAAAGGACAGATTGAGAGAGTTCAAACAATGTTTTTAGGCAAAACATCTTAAATCATCCATCTTAAAAAATGAATAGACTGTATCCATACCTTTTGACTGCAAAATGGGCCATTATCTTTCTGTGTGCAGGCCATTCTTGTTTCCTGTAAACCAAGACAGAATTTCCTATAGATTCACAAACTCCATAGGTTTCCACCCCCTCAAAAAAAAAAAACATAAATGTTCCCAGCTCCAGAAAATAATGTGTTTCATCCTCTGAATGCCTGAACTCCCTTGTGAGTACGTAGCTTTTTTTCCTCAAAGTAAATTTTTCTATACCTCTATATAAATAAATGTATGTTGACACATCATTATAACTCAAAGCCAATAATTTAAGTTAGAGTGAATTCTATTTTACATTTTACAGTTTGTTCAAATGTGTAAAGACACAGATCTACCATGGTAGTATCATGCAAAATAATTTCACTGCCCCCAAAATCCTCTGTGCTCTTCATATTCATTCCTCTCCCTCTCTCAAACCCTTATGACCACTTCTCTTTCTTGATATCTTCCTGGTTTTGCCTTATTCAGAATGTTGCATGATTGGAATCACACAGTATGTAAGCTTTTCACATTGGCTTCTTTCATTCAGTAATGTATATTTAAGGTTTCTCCACATTTTTGATGTCTTGATAGCTTATTTCTTTGCAGTGCTAAATAATATTCCATATTCTAGATGTACCACTGGCCTGTAATCTTCAAAATACATCAATATAATAATAGCACAAAAGTCAAAGAAAGGCAACTAAAGGAACAGAAAAATTAAAGCAGTATGTGTTTACAGCTTTCATGTACTGGGGTGAAATTTATTGTGAGGGACATTTTTAGGAGAACTGACAGATCTGAGATACATATTATATATTAAAGTGCTATATCAATATTAAATATCCAAAAGTTGATAACTATATTGTAAATGTATATGACAATATTCTTGTTCTCAAAAAATATATACTGAAATATTACCAGGTAAAAAGGTATAATATATGGCCTCTCGAATGGTTCAAAAAATAGTATACAATAAGTTCCATTCTGGGAGCACATTCGTAAGTTAGATTCATTCAAAAGTCCAACAAAGTGAGTCTTACACACCTACGACACAAACATAGAGGATATTGATTTGTGCTTCCTAGCAGTCCTCTCCACATCAGCACTGCTTTTCCTCTTGCTTCCAGGCATCCTGGCCTCTGGCTGAGCACTCTACTACTTTACACTATTGCACTATACAGTAAGCACAGAACAGGACAACTGTGACAACATCCAGCAGACATATGAGCTACTTCCATGATTTGTTTACATCTACCAGTGTTTGTAATGTGAGGTCCATTTGTATCTGAAAGTTCGCAACTCAAATGTTCATAAGTTGAGGATTTACTGTATGCATAAATTGTGCAAGGAAGGGGAAAAGAAAGATAAAGTAACTGTGGCAAAATATTAAAAATTGGCCAATCTTTGTAAAGATTATATAGGGGAAATTCTTTGTACTATTCTTGCAAGTCTTCTTGTAAATTTGAAATTATTTCAGATTAACAAAAATTTTAATTCTCTTTTCCTCCACTGAACCCAGATGCTGCCTGTATCATATTCTCCATGCCCATTTTATCTTCTTTTCCAAGATTTTCCTACATAGTCTTGCTTTCTTCTTCTTAGAACATGTGATATTATTATAGGAATCAAGTTATGTTTATAAGTTAACTTAGAGAGGATTGACTTCTTTATGATATTTACTCTTTCTACTCAAAACTTGATGTGTATTTCCATCTGATCAAGTCCATTTTTTTTTTCATTTTTCTGGATGTTTTATAGTTTCCTCATGTGTTTTGACACTTCTTTTTTGTTTATTTTATTACTATAAATGCAATATTCTCTTCCATTATATCTTTTAACAGACTTCAATATCCCTTTACAGTTTCCCAAATGAAAAGTTCTGCAATCATTTTGTAATTACTCTAAAGTAGACATCTTCTATTGCCAATTGTGTTGTAAAATTGTTAAAACAAAATATACTGTAATTCATTTTAATTAAAAATTGCAACCACATGCTGTAGTTAGTACATGGGGATATAAGAACACCAGAATCACAAGGGTTAAACTAGTTAAAAGCAACACATGGTAGATGACATCTGAAATTTGCAGAGGGCTTATGTCTCCACATCAAAAACAGAAAGGAAGAGCTGGAAAAAATAATTCAGTCATGATGAATGTAAACAAATCTTTTAGTCTTATTAGTGACATCTACATACCTGAAAAAAGTATATGTGAACTAAATCTTTAATCAAAGAGTAAGAATCTGTCAAGGTTTATTCAGTTCTGTCAAGGACAGAAAGAACTGACATGAAAAAAAGTAAGTCTGAGGACTAATGAGCCATCCTCCCCATTGTGGGATTAGATGCCCCTTGGCCTAGCAAAACAAATCCTCCAAGATGGTCCTTCTCGTGGTTCTGCTTTTGTATTGACCAAGCAACATTTGAGAGTGAAACCACTTGGCAGCTTTCAAGTATCCAGCCTCCAAGGGGATATTTCTCACTAAAAGCAAACCAGCCAATTTGTGATGTACACATCAGTCTGTAGACCATAGAGAATACAGTCACCAGGCCTGAATGGCTGAGCACAAACCCTGCACTGCCTTCCCATGAGGCTCAAGGAGAGACAGGTTCAAGTGCTATTTAGGCCTCTCAAACTGAATATGAGCCATACTGGATGTCTAAGGGAGATTAGAAACCATAAAATCAAATTAATGTGGTTTCATGTCTGCAAAGATGTGGGGAAAGCCTATAATGTTTTAGACCAGAGATGAGGAAATAGTTGGTTTTTCTAGACCTATAAATGGACTCCTGAGAGAGAAGCTAGGTAGACTACTGACCTCCGAAATTCCTTCAACATGCAATATTCTCTGAAATCTTGCATAAATTAGAGGAAATCCCTACAACAGGGCAAGTTAGAGCCCATCATACAAGTGATCCAAGGATCATGCTGCCAAGAAGGAGCCTTCATGGTAAGAGCAGATTTTCTAAAGTCATTCCAGTGAATGGCACTTGCATGGTGTAATGCTCTAAACCTCTGCAATTAGGTGGTGTCTATTCTCTAGTGGAGATTTAGTAGGATCAACAGGAGCTCTGCTTCAAAGTTACACTAATTTACAATTATTCTCCAGAGCAGCCCTACCAAATACTCTAACTTTTTTTTTCTATTCAAAGGGGGAAACTCAACAGGATTAAGGATTTTGATTGCCTGCCTAGAGTTTGACATTTTACATATCCAAGCAAATAGGTTTGTTACTCAAAATACTCCCAGACTAAAATTATTTTGAGAACAAAGTTAAAATCTTCTTCCAACTTACTTTTTACTGATAGATTTCCACTGAAAATTTCATCTACACTTTTATATATACCTAATATATTTCCTACTTTATTTCTTTTCAAGATTCTTAAGGTCAAAAACTTTAAGAGCTAGATTACAATAAATGATGTTGAAATTATATTAAACCTATAAAACTTAAGTCTGCCTAAACCTATGGCTTTGCTAAAATAAATAAATGGTTTTATTTGCAAATTGCCCTGCACATTTAGAAAGGGTCAAGCCTTCTAGTCTATTTATTGACACTGGCTTTCATCTGTACCCCAAACGTCTTTACTTTGCCAACTAGAAAGAAACAACAAGTATATTTCTGGGGCTTTATTGAGATTTAGCAGGCATTATCAAAGTCAGTAAACAGACTTTTTTGCAGGAACCTGTGTGGCCTCAGACCTGGAGATGTTATGTGTTTTCTTGTGCTCTTTTTTCATCTACAGTAAGAGAACTAGAAAGATAGCAAGGAGGTAGCTTTAAGGATAAAACTGTTCCTTTTCTCACAGGTTCACTTTACCAAAATAAAGGACACAAAATAGCCAGAAAGACCCAATTTCCACTCATTGCCTTGACATTATAGCTATTTGCCACTTGATGGCTAGGTGTCACTTTACTACCAGTATTCTAAGACATTGAATGATGAGACAATGACAAACCCTTTACTCTTTGGGAGAGGGCCTATTTCACAAATTTGTGCATAGCACTCTCTCCAGCACCGCCCCACTCTCATTCTTGAAGCACTAAGCTATAAACACCTTTTAACCTGCTACATTGGGTGTCAGACAATTGATCAACCATTAGTTTTTACTGAGTATCTACTAAAATGTTTGAGAATAATTCCTAATCACTGTATTAGAACATTTATGTTTCTCTTCCCAACAATTAAATAAGGATGACACATACCAAAAACCCCCAAGAGTATTATGTACATTTTCCTTCTTCACCCTTAATTATTAGTTGAGTGGTTTGTGTTCTGTGTGTATATGAATGTAAAATATACCTCTCACACATACGGATATTAATACACCTTGCCACATTAGAAAAGCTCAGTTCTTGCACTAAATTTTAAGAAGGGAGAAATTCTTTACATGATAGTAGAAAAAACAAGCAGTTTACCAAACAGAAACAAATACAAGTTCAAAGCATGGAAGTGTGAAATGGGAGTGTGGAAGTGTGAGAATCTTAAGATACTCAAGAGATAGATGCAAAAATGTCTCATAATTTAGAGAACTACAAATGATCCCCACCAATATTTTATCAGTATAATGTTTACTCATCCTTCAGTTCTCATTTTAAAATGACACTAAGGAAGACCTGTCCTCCCTCCCAAGACTAGGCTAGGTTCCACTGTTACACATTCCTAATATATCATATGCTTTTCCTTAAATTACTTATATGATTATCAAATATGTAACATAAAATATTAATTATTGCTTATATATAGTTTTTTAATATTTGTCTTCTTTCCCCACGAAAGTAAAGTAAGCTCTACAGTCAGTAAGTTGTCATTGCTGGATGTTCAGCAATAATCAAGAGATTTATATTTATTCTTTCACTGACTCAATAATTATTCAGTTCCCACAGTATGAGAGGCATGGTTTATGTAACAGACACTCAATAAGTATTTCCTGAATGAATAAACAAATGCATAGGTGAATGAATGAAGCACCATAGGAGGGCTCATTTCTAAACAACAAAATCTGTCTATGATTACAACTCCGCAAAAAAGGTTCCAAGTGTGGGCACTCAGTAAGAAGAG